TGGTCATTCTCAAAGGCCGCTACGACCCTCCACTCCATCCAGCGATCAATGACCCCTTCCTTGCTCGCAATCCCATACGTGCGACGTGCCCCGACTGTAATAGAGTACCCTGATAACATAACTAATTACTCACTACCGGGCTAAAAAAAGATACGACGCAAGCAGGGCATGATAGAGGACCGAACGTCGCTCTGTGACAAGAATTGGATTGAAGACACACCCGAGGTTTGAAAATGGGAAGTTGTGTGGTTCAATTACTAATTTTGTAGTTGTAAATAGAACAAAAGTCAAGAAGAAAGCATCAAACTGCCCAAAACGCTCTGTATAGAACCCTATGCTAAACCTTGTACGTGTGTAGACCGTAAAAAGGGCCCGCCTGGACGAGTTCTTACTCGTAGGTTTGGGTTCAGCTCTTTCTCCTTACCATTGCAATCTCACCATGCGAAACGGAGAGGATTAGCAGCGGAACATCCGCACTATTATATAGCAGTTAATAGTGAAAATTGGGCGTCACTGTAGTCAATGGAGCCAAGACGCAGTTCCGTCTCCAGTGAGCGGCACTCATTTAAAATGTTTTCTACTTGTGAGAGTATTGGGTCGGCCCATAAGTAATGACTGGTGTGTCAGGTCGACAAAATTGAGCATTTTGACGACCTCCCTTTGTTTGCTTCCAACTAAGTAAAGTAGCTACAACCGCACAGGACCAATTGCTAAGTATATGGCAGAAAACTTCGCTTTTGCCTTCCAGATAGTCAATTCAGTCACATTGCTCACTATGGCGAACGCATGCGTATATAGGCGAAGCCTGAAGTATTCAGTACCCGACAAAATGGAATTCCACAAAGTACGTTTTTCCTTGTACAAGGGTCCGTTTAGCCTTGACAAGAAACACTTTAGCTGGCCATCTGATACCTGAGCCCAGTGATTGCAAAGCTACGTTTTTGTTTCTGCATCACGAGACCTTGAATTTCATGTTATCATTATGACTTGTTCTGTTTTCCCTGCGGTTGATAGCTGACATATGTGTGACTTACACGACTACATCCTCACGATTAATAAGATCGGTATCCGTTTCCAATAAACCACGAGCAGGTGCGATGCCGCACAGGTCCTAATCGTCCACTGAAACTGCGTGGTGAGAACGTCAGGGATATGTCGACTTGGGATTCATGAGTCGACTACACCTCCTTGGGCCTTCCTGCCCTCACAACACTGCTATCTTCTCGTGCGCAGTGTGCTTTTTTGTTTTTTTTTCTTGGTCTTTCGCTGAGCGTCTCTGCGTCACTGTTCGCCCCATGTTTCGCTGCTGAAAATCAACCGGGCCTAAACTGGGGCGTTTTCGATCGCATCTCATTGATTATGTCTTCAACTTAAAGTAGTAATTTGCGGTGAAAAAAAAGGTACAAAGGTTATGAACAAACTATTGCAGAATGTGTCCCTCATTTCTTCTCTCAGTAAGGATCCAGAGCCCTCCACACTATATGCCCAAGTGGTGCTACGGATACTACGGATTAATCCACTTAGAATCGACGAGTGTGACGTGAGTTCCTTGGACTTTTTTATTAATTATTACCGTTTGAGGTTTTATATTATGATAACTGCCGTTTGTGGCCGTTTTAGCGGCCGGCAAATCGAGTTCTGAAGTTATCACAAGAATGCTGAGTTGTGGGCAAAAGTCGTGCCCCAGGCGGGAGTCGAACCCGCACCTCACTTTCCGGGCGAGTGCGCTATCCGTTACATGCCACCATTAGTTCAAGCTTTTATGCCGTTGCCTATCAAGCACTCACACGGTTTTTAATCTGGTCGAGCCTGTCAACCGGCGTTGAAATCATTAGACTACGGCTGAACCGCGAGGCCTAAGGCAGCGGTCATACTTCGCGACAGCAGCGGCGATGGCGACGATCGCCGCGATCGTCGGTACATTGCAGAGCGAGCCCCAACGCTATTATTTGGACCGCTCCGAAGGCTTTTAGGGAGAAACGACGCAATTTCATGCTTTTTCCTTTATCTGCAATTTCTTTAGGTACTGAAGCTTGGTTTGACACAAAGAAAGGATGAAACTCGACATCTTAAGGGCTTTTGTTTTCTATTTTTCTTATCTTCATGACCGAGGAATATAAAAACAAAAAGCGGGTGAGAGCTTTCGATTTAGGGGTAGGTTTTTATTGTTTCTTTTTTCACACGTCGAGCTTATACATAAGGTTATAAAGTTTTCACCCTGTTGATGTTGCGTAAAATGATTAGTGTTTTGGTTCCTAGGTGAAATTTCCTTCTGTTTCTTTTTTTTTTCTTCGTTGTTTGAACTCGACTTGTAAACTATAAATGTTTTGGAAGTTGGAACAGTTCAGACGATAGGAACTTTTAGGGGCGCTCGTATAAATTGAAACTAAAAAAACAAACAAAAGTCACCAGGGAATGGAGTTGGGGCTTAGTCCCGACCTAAAAAGATGTGAAACCTCCTTAACTCATATTTTTCAGATCCGCTTATGTATAGAAAGTCGTGAAGTTATCAGTTATCAGTTAGTAGCCATTATTAAGAGAAAAGAAGGTCTCACAAGTTGGATTCCCTTATTTATCAAGCGAGCGGTCCACATAATAGCGCGTCGCCGTTGACGGATCGCGGCGGTCACCGAGGTCGCCGCTCGGATATAAACTCCGCCTTAGGCTCACCAAGTAAACGTGTAACTGCTGATAGGCTATGGCATAAAAGCCGTTGAAACTAAGAGGTGGATTAGCGGTCACTCCGGGCGCCGAAAAGCGTGAGTGCGGGTTCGCACTCCCCCCTAAGGCACGACTTTTGCACAGAAAACTCTCAGCATTCCTTGTCAGTTACTGGGGTTGAATTTCGGCGTGTTTCGGAGGGCATTATAACACATTTGCCATCAATGCTGATACACGTCCTCTTTGGTAAGATGCTGGATCTGCTTGTCAGTGGTGAGAAGAAGCCTTCTGTTAGTGCGTAACACTGTCAGAAATATGCAGGTCTCGGATGGTAGCCATCGATAGTCGATCCATGTAGCCATAAAATGCCTCACACCTGATTGCGAGATCTTAGCCAAAATTCCGTTATCGTCTTCTTGGATGGGTTATCGTAATCAAAGAGGAATGAGCGCTTTCAGCTGATGTCCTCACAGGCTATACTCTTTTATTCTTGCTTGGTCCGCCTGAACGATGGCCAATGATTTCGGAGAGTTTGGGAGAAGAGTTGATTCCTTGCTTGAAGAAGGTCATTATTCAATGGAAAGAAGAGAAGATCTACTTCGCTATTTCCAAGTTTGAGTCTGATTGGATGTAAAGTTGGACTCTCTCTTTCATCTATGAAATTACGATCCTTCATAATGATCATTGTAAGATCCCACAACGCGGAGAAGTGCTCTCTCCTATTCTTGACAAGTCATGCTCACCTCAATTTTTATCGGAATTGATGGCTACCTGGAAAGGTAATCAACTCACTTTTTACTTTGAATTTGGGTGATGTAACGGTTTTTTTGTTTCACCAGTCGACTCCCATTTACAACTGTTTTCTTTAAGTTTCCTGAAGATTTGACTGCAGAATTCTCTCGCCTTTCGTTTCACTCGTTATTTGATAGCGATGTCTCCGACAAAGGTGAGCTTCTTTGTGAAAAAACAATTTCACCCTTCTTTAATTTTCTAGCTCAAATCGGGACACGTTATGCACAGGGATCCCACGAGGGGGTTGTATTTTGAGCCGAAATATTTTGGGCTATTGGACGACCTATACATCCTTTCGCCGCTACGGGCACTTTTCTCTGGAAAAGTGGCCCAGTAGTGGAGAAAACTCATGAAGGTTGTAGCGAGGTAAAATGGGGTTTGCGAAGGAGGGTGGGGAAGGGGAGGCTCCCCCCCCCCTCTAGATTGGCCAACTCTTTAGAGGGTCGTATTTTGGAGAAAAATTCCTTCCACAGCAGGACGTGTCCTGGCTCAAAAACATCTGCATTCTTGTCAAGATCCACATGGTTTGACTTTCCCATCTTGGGGAATGGAAATCCTGCAGTATGACGACTCCGCCAGAAGTTCTCAATGCAAGCGGAACTCCGGACATGAAATGGGGATGCTGGCAGTCTAGAGTATACTGCATGGGTTGAATTTTC